AATGCGATGGTTTGGACCTAAAATAATAGTCTAAAAAGGATTATCTTACAAAAAAAAGAGTTATCACTTGATATTGAATTTAGGTGTACCAAGTCACTCAAAATATATTTTAAATGAAAAAAATAAAATCTTTTTAAACGTATGAGGACTCGCAAATTTCTTATATTTTTTTTCAAAAATACCTTTTTATTTGGAAATTATTATTTATTAAAACCCTACCACCCAATCTTTCCACAATAAGTGCAAATAAACCTAGAAAGTAGGGTTTTACTTTTGGTTTCAAGATCGGAGCAAAATTAGGGTTTTCGCGATTTTTCGCCGGATGAATTTTCGGTACAGAGTAAGGATTAAATTTGGAGATTAAAAGTGACTTTTAAGTGAGAAATAATATGTGACTAGTAGCAATGATATAAGGTTAGTGAATGGGAAGTAAAAACCCTGGTATGTGAGTTTTTAAGAAAAACGGCGCGAACCGGCGGGTCCCGCGAACTACCGATTGAACGCACCACTTGACCACCATTTTTCTTACCATACTAGCTTATTGATATTTGAGCAAAATATCTTCTTAATTCTCAGCAAGGTTGACCGAATTCTAAGGCTAGAAATGCAAGAAAGAAAGAGGAAAAAATGAAAGGAGGTGGTGGCGACAAGTGTCGCCACCTAAAGGCTTCTTGACCAAGACAAGAACTTTCTATTTAACTCCAAAATTCAGCACTTTTCTCTTCATTTTCTGCACCCTTTGGCCGAGAGGAAGAAGAGAAAAACATCAAGGGAAGATCTCTCCATTTCTTCTTGAATCAAACCACTAAGTGAGAAAACAAAAGAAATAAACCGATTAAACTTACCTTTGAGTGATTAGTTAGTGATTGTTGGTGAGATTTTGGAAAGGGAAAGCTAGGGATACACTTGGTGAACTCTAATCAAGGTAAGGAAGATGAGCTCTCTAATTTTTACTTTCAATCTTGTTTAAATTAAGCTTAGTAACTTAATTTTGTGGTGAATCATGGATGTTATCATGTTTTGGAGGTTTTCCCCTTTTTGATATGATGAACTAGGGTTTGAGAACTTGCTGCCAATTTGATGTATGATGCATATATGTTGTAATTAAGGTTGTATAAGGGTTTTGGTAGTGATTGAAGTAAGAAATTGAGGAAGGTTGCATTAAAAACTGAAAATTCCAGATTTCTGGAAAATTTGTCTTCCTTTCTGTCCGGTTTTGTAGCTGCATGTTAGAGGCCGAATTGGCCTCAGGTCAAAGCATGAAAGTTGTAGAGAATGGTATTTTATAGGTTCCTACAAAATTTCAGCTCAATCGGAGCAACGTAGGTCATGAAAAGTCCAAAATACCCTTACTATTTTAAGTTTTTCCCCAGCAGTCCGTTTGGTCCGTTTATCCAGTTTATCACGTTTTTTCACTAGGATCCGTACTGATTTAGCTTTTTGCCAAAACATGAAAGTTTTAGTATTCTGACTTAGCTTTCAAATGCCTCTAAGGACACTTGAATCGGACTTTTGTAACCTGAGATATGACCATTACAGTACAATGCGGTTAAACAGCCAACTAGTTAGATTTTAGTTCTGTAAATTGAGGATTTGACTAGGTTGCATTGGAAACTGGACTAAGTGACCTTCATGAACATTGTAGACCTGTGTCTTAGCTTCGAAACGGCATAAGTTGCGCCTCAATCCGATAAGCGTAGCCTCGGATGTGTTATTTCCGTAACTACACGTCGAATCTGTCTTTTGCTAGATTGTATTTCAGCACTTGTTATTATTGTGATTCTTATTCTTATGATATGATGAGCCTATGGAACGGCTTTTGACTTGAATTATGATATGTGTGACTTTGGGTTGTGGCTGAGGAAAAATAATGAAGCCTAAATGGCTGGAAATTAGGTAAACACAAAGGGCATGCTGCCCAAATTTACGCTCGAGGACTAGAAAATTATATTTGCAACTTGAGTAAAGGTTAAGTGATTATCACTTGAACTAGCGAGAACCTTTGCTACTATGTTTATCGAGGGTTATACGTTAGGACTTGGCCGAACTTGTACCCTTGAGGAAAAGACATAATGGCCAATGTAAACTTGTATTTCCTTGTACTTTCAATTCAAGTGTTATTTCCAAGTATCTATGCTACAAAACCTTACGATTTGAAAAGCGAGCAAGTTTTTCACGAGTGTCTTTCAAATGAATTTCAATTGGTCGATTCTTAATGAACGGGACGTTTAAGTTTCGAATCCTACTCGTGTTTTAAAGTTCTTAAACTGAATTTTTATTGCAGATCTGGACTCCAAGCCTGGAGTATAATTGAACGTGAATACTTGAAGCACTATATTTTGGTGAGTGCTTCCAAATATCCGATTGTACTTGATACATGTGTTCCTTACTTGATTTGTATGATTACATGAAAATGAATGATAGGGCGAGGGTGTACTTTACCGCACTTGCCCTAATATGACTTGTTCTTGCTAGTAATTATACTTGACTTGCTCTACATGTACTTGAGATATGTCTTGCCTGGAATTCCAGAAACCCTGTGGCTAGTTAATCGAGTCGAGCCGGCAAGGGCCTGGTCGATTAGATAACAAACCCTGGGTCACTAATAAGGTCGAGTGGAGTGTTATCTCCTCGGCAATCCGGTATCCTCAGTATTACCACCCGTGTTTCGTGTGGCGTGCGGGCCCGGAAAAGGGGGTTGATCGATGGACGGGGATTGGCGTGTAGTGGAGTTTTATTTTGGACTTGTTATTACTTGAAAGTTGACGGAGTGTCAACTACCCATTGATCAAGCTGGAATGGAGCCGAGATATGATTACCGTATCCTTATATATGACTGCAAACTTGATATTACTTGGCTAGTTGAAGTACTATTTCCCTGATACGACTTGTTTGCTCGCTATTTCACTATTACCATGTTATTCCTTGATTTGTTGGCAAATTTGATATTTGGAACTTCACTGAACTTTGATTCACCCTATTAGTTTTGTTTTCCTTACAGGGGTACGAGCGAAGCGTGAGAAGTGTAAAGGCTAGCGTAGTCTAGTTACTTTAGACTTTGTTTTGAATTTTGGTCTTGTACTCGCGCTATTCCTCGAATGGAACCTTTTGTACTTGGACTGTATACGTTTTGAACTAGTTTAAGCATATCGAGACTTTGTACCCTGATTTCCTATCCATGTATATTATAAGCTTGAATTGGGAATGTTATATATGGTTCATGGTTGTGTGCACGTGATTCGAGTGAGTGAGTCCTGGCGAGAGTTGGGCAGGCGGTCCGCCGAACCCTCTGGTACGCCTTAGGGGGAGGTGGGGTCGTCACAGGTGGTATCAAAGCCTAGGTTATGAATTGATCTAGGTAGATTGGGTACTTGATACGATTGGCTAGGATTTTATCCTTGAGCTTAGCCTTTAGCCTTGTTTTCAACGTGTTGCGTACTTATTTTTCAATGTTATTTGCAAACTTAGGTGATGGCAGACGCTGACGCTTCTGGGGGTGCGGGGCCGTCTCAGTCCGTACCTACTGATATACCTTCTGACGCTCCTGCTGGCGAGCCCTATCTGGAGGGGCCCGTCTCTCGCGTGATCACATACCAGGAGATTCCTGGTGGGCCGGTGCAGCGGTGGTCCCTAGCGCGCAAGATCCGACGCTGCGATTGCTGGAAGAGCTACTCCTATCCTGACCGAGTGGTTCTCGCAGTGGATGACGAGCGGAGACGATTGGGTAGCACCAATCGTAGGTGCTATACGGAGATAGAGCGTCTTCGAACTACACTCCGAGACCGGGGAGCCCTGATCCGAGAGTTGGAGGCCTCGGTTCTGGAGGAGCAGCAGCGGACCGATGCTTTCCGCGAGCAGGCTCAGGCGACGACTGGACGTCTGATGCGGGTAGTTGCGGCCATTAGAGACCGGACTGGCCATATTCTGACCGTGTGTGAGGCTTTAGTGGACGATGTGCTCCAGGACTTGGCCGATGAGGGCCAAGTGCCTGTAGCTCCTGGCGTTCCCAGTGCTCCTGAGGAGGATCCGGAGGAGGACCCGGAGGAGGAGCTGAGTGCATCCTCGGAGTCAGTTGGGTCGGCGTCTAGCCAGACCACTTGCTAGGATTGGGGTTTGAGGAGTTTTTGAGGGATAGTAGGAACATAGTGGGACGACACGTCTCCTTTTGTTTTGATTTAGACGTGTCTTGGTGGATGTAAATATCTTTTGTTCTATGTTCCTTGGCTGTGATAGCCTCTGACTATGTGACTTGTTGGCCTGTATATACGACTTGTTTGTTATGTAAATAAAGTGCTTGTTCCTTACGTGTTTATTTGCCTCTAGTTATCTTGTTGCAACGTGATATATGAGTCATACCTTACCTTGTTTATATGTTTCTAGTTGGTTAACTCTCAACATGGAAGATAATAGAAGTCGGACCAAGAAAGCTAACCGAGAACGCGGTTCTAGGCGAGGCCGTGAGGGTGAACAAGTACAGGAACCGGTGCCAGAACCGAGAGAGGAGAGGGAGGCAGCGGTTGAGCAGCAACCTGAACCCCAGACTGCCGGGGGAGATCAGGTGGCCACTGCCATCCAACAGATGACTAATATTTTAGCCCGGTTGGTGGAACAACAGGGTCAAGGCCCTGTAAATCAACCTAGGGACCCTGATTTGGGGCAGGATAGAGCCTTGGAGAGATTCCAGAAGTTCTCTCCACCCAAATTCTTAGGAGGACCAGACCCGGATGGGGCTGAGAAATGGCTGGAGGCCATGATAAATATTTTTGCTGCCCTGAACTATACAGAGGAGAGGCAGGTTCAATTTGCTGTATTCCAGTTTGAGGGGCCAGCTAGGACCTGGTGGAACGTAGTGAGGGCCAAGTGGGAGAGAGAGGGAACTGCATGGACTTGGCTAAACTTTGTACGAGATTTTAACGAGAAATATCTTCCTCCTATCGTCCAAGAGAAGCGAGAGGACGATTTCATTAAACTTCGCCAAGGAATGATGAGTGTAACTGAGTATGGACCCAGTTTACGAAACTGAGGATGAATGTTGGAGAAAGGCTCAGAAGTACCTAAGGTGTGGAAGTACGGAGCACCAGATAGTCAACTGCCTGTTGATTAGTGATACCCAGTCGACTGCCAGGTCAAACCCAAAACCGACCAATGCTGGAGGGGCTAGATCGAGGGTTCCGGCCAGAGTATATTCACTGGACCAACAATCCGTGCCTGAACCAACGGAGGTGGTAGAATGTACGATCCCTGTTTTTCACCGGTTAGCCAAAATTTTGATAGACCCCGGTGCTACTCACTCTTTTGTTAATCCTGCATTTATTCTTGGAATTAATTTGAAAGTTGAAAAGTTACCTTATAACTTAGAGGTAAGAACACCTACGGGTAATCAAATCTTGCTGGCGAATGAGGTGTATAGGAATTGTGATATATGGGTTGGTGAACGGAAATTGGTAGTGGACCTGATTGGTCTAGCCATTAAGGGGTACGATGTTATCCTATGTATGGATTGGCTAGCTCATTATCATGCTCGGGTAGATTGTAGGATGAAAATGGTCGAATTTTGTATACCGGGGGAGGCAACTCTAAAGCTTGATGTGAGGGGTATGATAGTCTCTTCTGCACTTATTTCGGGTATAAGGGCTAGGAAATTGCTTAGTCGTGGGGCTCGTGGTTACCTAGCTTTTCTAATTAACACTCCGGGAGAGAAGACTAAGTTGGAAGACATTCCAGTAATCAGTGAATTCCCGGACGTATTTTCGGAGGAGTTGGAGTCTCTGCCGCCCGAAAGGGAGATTGAATTTAAGATTGACTTAGTACCCGGAACCACTCCTATTTCGAAAACTCCTTATCGTATGGCACCTGCTGAGCTTAAGGAGTTGAAGGTGCAATTGCAGGATTTGCTAGAACGAGGGTTTATTCATGAGAGCGAGTCTCCGTGGGGAGCTTCAGTGCTATTTGTTAAGAAGAAGGACGGGAGTTTAAGGTTGTGCATTGACTAGCGAGGATTGAATACAGTAACCATTAAGAATAAATATCCTTTGCCCCACATCGATGAATTGTTTGATCAGTTACAAGGGGCTGTTGTGTTTTCTAAGTTGGATCTGTGACAAGGGTACTATCAGTTGAGAATTAGAAAGGAGGATGTGCCAAAAACGGCATTCAACACTCGATGTGGGTATTTTGAGTTCGCAGTGATGCCTTTTGATTTAACCAATGCCCCAGCGGCATTCATGGATCTGATGCATCGAGTGTTCAAACCTTACATGTATAGGTTTGTAGTGGTGTTCATTGATGATATCTTAGTGTATTCGAGATCAAGGGAGGAGCATGAACAACATTTGCGGATAGTACTACAAACCCTAAGAGAGCACCAACTGTTCGCTAAGTTCGGTAAGTGTGAATTTTGGTTGGAAAGTGTGGCGTTCATAGGTCACATAATTTCAAAAGATGGCCTTGCGGTAGACCCGGTGAAAGTGGAAGTTGTGGCTAAACGGAAACGGCCAGAAAATCCTACAGAGGTGCGAAGTTTTCTAGGCTTAGCAGGGTACTACTGCAGATTTATAAAGAATTTCTCGAGAATTGCAGGACCCTTGACTAACTTGACTAAGAAACAAGGAAAGTATATTTGGGATGTTAAGTGTGAAAGTAGTTTCCAAGAGCTTAAGAAACAATTAACTATGGCTCCGGTTTTAGCTTTGCCCAGTGGAAGTGAAAGTTATACGGTTTATACCGATGCTTCGAAAGAAGGGCTAGGGTGTGTGTTGATGCAGAATAGGAATGTGATTACCTATTCATCTCAAAAATTAAAACCTCATGAGCAGAATTATCCGACCCATGATTTGGAGCTTGCAGCTGTAGTATTCGCTTTGAAGAAATGGCGGCATTATCTTTATGATGTAACTTTTGAGGTTTATACGGATCATAAGAGCCTTAAGTATCTGTTTTCTCAGAAGGAGTTAAATCTAAGAAAACGTCGGTGGGTAGAGTTCTTAGAGGATTATGACTGTACAATTAACTACCATCCTGGAAAGGCCAATGTTGTAGCAGATGCTTTAAGCCGGAAAACTCAACTAGCAAGTTCCTTAGTGAGAGAGTGGAGCCTGTTGGAGGATGTCTGTGAGTGGAAACCTCGTTTGGAACCGAAGCGGGTGATTTTTGGAAATATTGAGGTGAAGTCGGCACTGATGGAGCGAATCAAAGAGGGCCAAGTAAAGGACCCAATAGTACAAAAGTGGGTAGAAAAGGTGGAAAAAGGGGAGTTACCTAATTTCAATCTAAGTCCTGATGGAATCCTGAAGTTTCGAAATCGTGTCGTGGTACCTAGGGATGAGGAATTGAAAAGGGAGATTTTGGAGGAATCACATTGCTCTAGGTATACGGTGCACCCAGGGAATAATAAGATGTACCGAGATTTTAGAAGTCTGTATTGGTGGGAAAATATGAAGGCGGAGATTGCCCAGTTTGTGCAAAAATGTCTTACGTGCCAACAGGTATAAGCTGAGCATCAAAAGCCATCAGGTTTGTTACAGCCTTTAGAGATTCCTGAATGGAAATGGGAGTACATAACGATGGATTTTGTGTCAGGATTGCCACGAACACAAAAGGGGTATGATGCAATTTGGGTAATAGTGGACAGATTAACTAAGACTGCACATTTTCTGCCAGTAAACATGAAATATCCTTTGGAGAAACTTGCTAAACTTTATATGGATGAGGTAGTAAGACTACATGGGGTACCAGTGAGTATTGTATCGGATAGGGACCCCAGGTTTGTATCCCGATTTTGGCAGAAATTGCAAGAGGCTCTAGGGACTAAGTTGAGCTATAGTACAGCGTATCATCCGCAAACTGATGGACAATCTGAGAGAACCATCCAAACTCTTGAGGATATGTTGAGAGCCTGTATTGTGGATTTTAAAGGAAGTTGGAGCCAATATTTGACCTTGGTTGAGTTCGCGTATAACAATAGTTATCATTCCTCTATTCAAATGGCTTCATATGAAGCATTCTATGGACGAAGATGTCGATCTCCAATCCATTGGGAGGAAGTAGGAGAGAGAAAAATTATAGATCCGACCACAATACCATGGGTTGAGGAAGCGTATGAGAAAGTAAAAGTGATCCGCCAGCGGCTTCAAACAGCCCAAAGCCGTCAGAAAAGCTATGCCGATCATAGGAGGAAAGACTTGGAGTTTGAAATAGGGGATAAGGTTTTTTTTCGGATTACACCATTAAAAGGAAAGTCAGAACAGTAAAAGAGAAAAAGTTGCAACCACGATATATAGGACCTTTCAATGTACTTCAGCGAATAGGAAAGGTGGCTTATCGACTTGAGCTACTAGCTAGTTTGTCTAGGATCCATGACGTTTTCTATGTTTCTTTGCTTAAGAAATACCATTCGGATCCAATTCACATTTTGCCACCTGAAAATGTTGAACTTGACTAGTCCTTAACTTATGAAGAACGACCTATTTAAATACTGGATCGAAAGGTGAAGGACCTGAGAACCAAGCAGATTCCTTTAGTAAAGGTTCTATGGAAGCATCATGAAGTGGAAGAAGCAACTTGGGAGCTAGAAAAGGACATGCAAGAGAAATATCCTGACCTGTTCACGACAAAAGGTATGAATTTCGAAGTCGAAATTCTTTTAAGGGGGAGAGAGTGTGAGGACTCGCAAATTTCTTATATTTTTTTTCAAAAATACCTTTTTATTTGGAAATTATTATTTATTAAAGCCCTACCACCCAATCTTTCCACAATAAGTGCAAATAAACCTAGAAAGTAGGGTTTTACTTTTGGTTTCAAGATCGGAGCAAAATTAGGGTTTTCGCGATTTTTCGCCGGATGAATTTTCGGTACAGAGTAAAGATTAAATTTGGAGATTAAAAGTGACTTTTAAGTGAGAAATAATATGTGACTAGTAGTAATGATATAAGGTTAGTGAATGGGAAGTAAAAACCCTAGTACGTGAGTTTTTAAGAAAAACGGCGCGAACCGGCGGGTCCCTCGAACTACCGATTGAACGCACCACTTGACCACCATTTTTCTTACCATACTAACTTATTGATATTTGAGCAAAATATCTTCTTAATTCTCAGCAAGGTTGACCGAATTCTAAGGCTAGAAATGCAAGAAAGAAAGAGGAAAAAATGAAAGGAGGTGGTGGCGACAAGTGTCGCCACCTAAAGGCTTCTTGACCAAGACAAGGACTTTCTATTTAACTCCAAAATTCAGCACTTTCCTCTTCATTTTCTGCACCCTTTGGCCGAGAGGAAGAAGAGAAAAACATAAAGGGAAGATCTCTTCATTTCTTCTTGAATCAAACCACTAGTGAGAAAACCAAAGAAATAAACCGATTAAACTTACCTTTGAGTGATTAGTTAGTGATTGTTGGTGAGATTTTGGAAAGGGAAAGCTAGGGATACACTTGGTGAACTCTAATCAAGGTAAGAAAGATGATCTCTCTAATTTTTACTTTCAATCTTGTTTAAATTAAGCTTAGTAACTTAATTTTGTGGTGAATCAATGATGTTATCATGTTTTGGAGGTTTTTTCCTTTTTCATATGATGAACTAGGGTTTGAGAACTTGCTGCCAATTTTATGTATGATGCATATATGTTATAATTAAGGTTGTATAAGGGGTTTTGGTAGTGATTGAAGTAAGAAATTGAGGAAGGTTGCATTAAAAACTGAAAATTCCAGATTTCGGGAAAATTTGTCTTCCTTTCTGTCCGATTTTGTAGCAGCATGTTAGAGGCCGAATTGGACTTAGGTCAAAGCATGAAAGTTGTAGAGAATGATATTTTATAGGTGCCTACAAAATTTCAGCTCAATCGGAGTAACTTAGGGCATGAAAAGTCTAAAATACCCTTACTGTTATAAGTTTTTCCCCAGCAGTCCGTTTGGTCCGTTTATCCAGTTTATCACTTTTTTTTCACTAGGATTCGTACTGATTTAGCTTTTTTCTAAAACATTAAAGTATTAGTATTCTGACTTAGCTTTCAAATGCCTCTAAGAACACCTGAATCGGACTTTTGTAACCTGAGATATGACTATTACAGTACAATGCGGTTAAACAGCCGACTAGTTAGATTTTAGTTCTGTAAATTGAGGATTTGACTAGGTTGTATTGGAAACTGGACTAAGTGACCTTCATGAACACTTGTTATTATTGTGATTCTTATTCTTATGATATGATTACCTTCATGGAACGGCTTTTGACTTGAATTACGATATGTGTAACTTTGGGTTGTGGCTGAGGAAAAATAATGAAGCCTAAATGGCTGAAAAATTAGGTAAACACAAAGGGCATGCTACCCAAATTTACGCTCGAGGACTAGAAAATTATATTTGCAACTTGAGTAAAGGTTAAGTGATTATCACTTGAACTAGAGAGAACCTTTGCTACTATGTTTATCGAGGGTTATACGTTAGGATGTGGCCGAACTTGTACCCTTGAGGAAAAGACATAATGGCCAATGTAAACTTGTATTTCCTTGTACTTTCAACTCAAGTGTTATTTCCAAATATCTATGCTACAAAACCTTACGATTTGAAAAGCGGGCAAGTGTTTCACGAGTGTCTTTCAAATGAATTTCAATTGGTCGATTCTTAATGAACGGGAAGTTTAAGTTTCGAATCCTACTCGTGTTTTAAAGTTCTTAAACTGAATTTTTATCGCAGATCTGGACTCCAAACCTGGAGTATAATTGAACGTGAATACTTGAAGCACTATATTTTGGTGAGTGCTTCCAAATATCCGATTGTACTTGATACATGTGTTCCTTACTTGACTTGTATGATTACATGAAAATGAATGATAGGGTGAGGGTGTACTTTACCGCACTTGCCCTAATATGACTTGTTCTTGCTAGTAATTATACTTGACTTGCTCTACATGTACTTGAGATATGTCTTGCCTGGAATTCCAGAAACCCTGTGGCTAGTTAATCGAGTCGAGCCGGCAAGGGCCTGATCGATTAGATAACAAACCCTGGG